TTCATTTTTTTTCTGAGACAAGGCCTCTCATTAAACCTGGAGATCATTGATTGGCTATGTTGGCTGCCAATTAGCTCCAGAGATTCTCCTGTCTCTTCCAATACCCATTGTCCCACATTGGATAACATGCCTGCATTAACATGCCCACCTTTCATACATTTTTTTTAGGGACTTGAATTCAGGTCCTTACATTCTTTTAAGTGAGCAATCTCCTAGCTCCACCTTACTTCAAACATTTTATAGTGTAAGAAAATTTCAAGTATACAGAAACTTTGAAAGTAATAAACAACGAACACCCTTATAGTCAATATTCATATTTTACTACTAATATTCTCTTGTCCACAAGTCAATTTCACTTTTGGAATATATATCAAGCAAAATAAATGGTTAGTAAGTACAGATATTAGTATCCTTTACCCCCAAAGATTTAATACATGTGCCAATAATCCCATGCTTATATATTCCTTCCTTCCTTTGTGTATTTGTGGTATGCATTCATGTGTGTGTAAATGTGTATATACAAGTAAAGTTTTTTTCTTTTTGAGGTTAAAATTTATATTTAATGAAATAAATAAATCCTTAAAGTATATTTGATGTGTTTTGATAAATGCATTCTGTCTATATTACCCATATTATTATAAATTATTTTCTTGTTGTCTGTTCAAAACACTTGCTTTGGAGTATGGTAAAGAAGTATGAATATATCTTCAAGTGCAGTTATTAATTAACATTCAAATACTGAGCCCCAAATATAACCAGTACTCAGAAATGCTCCATGTCTCCCTCTCCAATCATCAACACTGACTTTACTCCCTTAATTTCAGAGTTCTTTAAAATGACTCTGAAAATGGTCTTAGAAAATATTTTAGTGAGACACTTTCTCAGTAATTAGTTAGAATCCCCATCATCTCCCATTCATTGCGAGATATGAATTTAAGAATATTGGAGAAGGAGCCAATTAGTTTGGCTTGCATATTAAGAATCATTCCTCCTTCCTAATAACCACAAGGCATTTTAAAGTTAATATTAAGTTGTTATGATGAGTTTTCTCCTAAAGGATCCCTTCATGAGAAATACTATGACACTATTTTCTCTAATTTGCTAACCCCTGAACTAAAGTCACTAGAGAAACAAGCTTGTGTATAAAACCCAGCAGAGGCTATCATTGCTATGAAAGTCTATTACTCAACTCCCTACTCCCCAAATGAAGAAAAATAGAGAATATGACTTTAATTAATAGTTTTAATTTTACCAAGTGAAAACATATTGGGTGGTAACAGATACTGCACAAGAAACTGACTACCTATTTGCAAACTATTATGGGTGAAGGATAAGGTCCCTGATGCTTTTGTCAGATTTCTTCTTTAGGTAGGTGAACTACAGTCTTCACAGTGGTCAAACTGGGGATAAGGCTCTTAAAGTCTCTCTAAAGAAACTCAATCAAATAATCACTGAACACATGGATGATGAAAAGGTTCAATAAAAGGGTTTCGAGGAGGGTCAGTGTCAGAAGAAAGTCAAGAAAGAAGGTTTTGGTGGCTCCTGCTCTGTCTTCTATATTTGTTCCACTTTTAAGAGACCTGCTTTATTTTCTAGTTTTAAGTAACTTACTAGAGTCTATTGTTGTGTACAACTATACTGGATAAAGTTACAAACTGAGTCCCCAAACTACCGACAGTTAGTGAAATAACTATTATAACAAAGCTGATTAGCAGACATATTATAACAAAGCTGACTAGTAGACTAAAAGCATGGAATGGCAGGACTTGGAGGAATACAGAGGAGCAGTGATGAGTATAGATATAAAGGCAAACACTGCTAGACCCCTATCTCCCAAATTTTTAAGCACTATGCTTTTTCATAATTTATGGTTAGATATTAGTCATTGGGTTGGACACACACAGCTCTTCATAGTGTTTTATTGAAGTTATGTATCCCTGAAACCAGAGTAAAGACACTAAACAGAACAGGATATCCCCAAACACATAGAGTATACGAAAAGGAGGCTCAAATGATGGTTACAGGAGGGTCATGGTAAGCTAAGGAAGTTGGAGCTGGCAACTAGCTCACTATATACCCATCTGATTAAGACATTGATCATTGTGATTGTTTCTAACTGTTCAAAATTATCTTCTTGCTTGGTTACAAGAGACCTTGAGGATGGTTTTGTGGCCAAGTCTATCTAAAGATTGTATAAACATAATACTATTGAAGAGACCTTAGAAACTTTGGATGATAAAAAAAGAAAAAAAGGTGAAAGACACTTAAAATACTAAGTTTTGGCCTATACATTCTGAATAGGGGCAGGGGATGGCTGAGTCCTGGTCCACATTCATTTGTTTTATCAGTATTGTAAGGAATTTATCCAATCTACAGTTCTTACCAAATTTACTTTTAAGAGTTGCCACAAAATGGTATGAAGCTGAGAATAATGAGACCATCTATTTCTAAAATTTCTACAAGTGCAAAAATCAACATTGGCTACTTGGACAGTGAAGGGAAAATAAAAGGAAGAGTGTCAGTGGTGGAACAAGCTCAGAGAAAGAGGTGCTGAATAAATTGCAGGATTCAGCTAGATCCGGGACTAACTTCATTCAGATTCAACTTAGCAATTCAATCAATGTTTTCCTTTACAAAGATCTAGCTTATACTGTGAGATACTATAATCTTTGTGGATTGAATCAAGCCTGATTTTGCCACATATTTACCATGACTTTGACAGAAGAGCTATGACTATGAATCATTTAACAACCATGAGAAGACACATCAAGATGGAGGAAAAGAAAGATCCCAGCTCTTCCAAGATTCGGGATCTCAGTTAAAGACAAGAGATGTCTAACTCTTGCGATCTATGAATAACATTCAAAGTATTCAGGGGAATATCAATTTCTGTATTATTTTATTAAATAATTTTCATCATATAAGACACTCACTGCCATTGGGGTATAAGATTGGTTCTAATCTTTTTTTTAAAAAATCATTTTTTTATTTGAATTAGAAACAAGATTGTTTTACATGACAATCCCAGTTCCCTTCTCCCTCCCGTCCTCCCCTACCACCCCTCCCAACTAAAAACCTACCTATCACATATCCTTTTTTCTATTCTTCCCCTGACTCAACCTTTCTGATTCCTCATGACCTCTTCATCCTTCCTCTTCTTCCCTTCTCATTCTCGAAGCTCCCTCCCCCCTCTTCCCCTGCTGTCAATTTGCTAAGGGGATCTTGACCCTTTCCCCTTCTCCAGGGGACTGTGTATGTCTCTCTTAGGGTCCTTGTTTACTAAGATTGGTGCTAATCTTTAAAAATAATATAAGAACAGTAATGACAGGCAGGAGTCCAGCCAGTCACCAGGGTATGTGAGTAGGGCAATGGGTGAGTGTTAGAGGTAGGAAGGACACAGTGGCAGGATGAGGGAAGTTAGGAAAAATAGTCCTATGTAGAGACAGGCACTGGATGATCATAGCTTACAATTTACTGTTATTTCATCATGTAAAGGAATTTCACTGCTTCAGTTGTCTGCCTGACCTCATAGGAAAAGCTAAGT